AATATATCCTCGTTTATGGAAAACGGAATTAAATATAAAATTTTCACCAATCATTAGCTCTCATAGTGTCCAATTAGCCAAATCACGTAACAAGGGCCAAATAATGGTTCTTATTGTACCGCAAAAAATACTTTTGTTATGTAACGCAAATCGTAGTTATTGAGATCACGTCTATTAGTGGCTTAATCAAGCAAGGAAAATGTAGAATCATCTTATTCCTCTTATTCTCTGCTTCGTTGCTCGTATATACTTGGCGCGAACCGGCGTGTCTCTTGATAGATAATCTCATTAACTCTGAAGAAATGGAACAGTTACACCGACGAAATTTGCGAGAAAACTCTTGACTGCGATGTCGCGTGCAAGGATTTAGTTAAATTATATCACGACACGAGAACGTTGCGCTCTTTTTGTCCTTGCTGTATTTCACGTTTCATCTGCTACTCCGAATTTCGAAACTCGACTCGCTCATCTTCCGGTAAGCCCGGTCGTTTGAAAGGGACGACGACTATATTGGTCTCGTTCTCATTCTCCTCTCGTCGAGTAATTAAATTTCCGAGCCGCGTGACTGATCTGCTTGGGAAAAAGTTTTTCCTTTGACCATCTGTTGACATAATTCATCATGTGACATCGTGGTTCTGACCCCTTCGAGAACCACGCGGAACAATTCGAGTGGATTTCCCCGACTAATTAACGATATTTATTTTTGCTTTGTCTCGCGCGACATCTTTCGTTTTTATTTTAAGTATAATTCGCGTATTTGCTTCTGTGTGTCCGGATGCGCGCACGCAGCAGGAAGACTTATAAGCCAGAATTTCTCAAAAGCCCGGGATTTACCTACGTGAAACCCTTTCTCGGACAGAGAATGAATTATCGCGTATATCTCACTTCTCCTCGCGCGCCGGGTCTTATTTCTTTGCCTCTTAGCCCCCTTTTCAGGTCACGTGGCGCGAAACTCGCGCGGCAGTCGGTGGAAATTTATTTCTTTATACCGGGGTGCGCATCTTGTAGCGCTCTTCTTCTTTTGGAAGTTAATAAACTCCTTAATCTTTCCACGTCTGGGGGGAAAACTTCCGCTCGGCAAGTTTGCGCGCGCTTCAACGTCGCGCGCGAACTTTCGCCGTGTGTCTCGCGCATTTTCGTCTTGTAAACGAAAGTTAAAAATTTGCCCCGACAACAGCAAAGATTAGGTTAGGTTACTTTCAATTTATTCTGTTTGCTTCTTGGGTTTTTTATTCGCCTCGGCGAGCGACGCGCGTGGCGCGGACAACCTCTGGGCATGTCTCATCCGAACGACGAATATATGAATAATTTTCGTACCGGCTCGCCGTTCTTTTGCTTGGAAATCGATATTCCATAAATGTGTAAATGTGTAACCGAATCCCCGATTCTCTTTGCCTAAGCGAATGACCTTGCCGTGACGACAGGTGCGTGCGCCTTAAACCCCATTAACGGTATCGTCGTACGCGTGCTGCTACCATATCCGTACCGACATCCCCGAAGGGATTCTCGAGCTAACAATTCGGTCGTATGAGATGTTTCCGTTACAACGTTATGATTTTTCGCTTTTTCGCAAATAGATCTTGATCGGAAAAGTTTGGGCGCGACAAATTTTATTTTATTCAGATGTCAAAAAGAAAAAAAAATGGGTCGTGGAATTTAAACCATGTTTCGCGCGCGGAAATGTACGTTGATTAAAAAAAAAAAATAAACAAACAAACATAAAATAGAAAGAAATGAAATGTTGTTGCGATATATTAAACAAGAGTTTTCCCGCATTCGTATGTATCGGGCTAACTCGCGGAAGGACAGATTTATGGGCAATATCCTTCGCTCACGGAAAATTCGGGGCGATAAACGGGGGCGCGAATGTTTTTCGAAGGGGGAACGTGCGCCCCGGGAAGATCGATCGAATATCGCGATCAATATCGGTGTGTGTGTGTGTGTGTATGCGCTACCGGAAATCACTGCGTAATACGTCCACGGGCATTTCCGCCGATCGATGCATTCTGCGGCGTTCCTCTTGTCACTTTGTGCGCGCTTGTTACACTCGCGCGCACATATATCGATTCTCTTCGCGTATGTATAGCGCGCTATACAGTGAAAATTCAATCTCCCATGTTCGTGAAAAAAGACCCGATGCTTCAGAGTCCCGGAACATGATAGCGTCGTTGTGTATAAAACAAAAATGAAGAAATGTCGGAAAGAGAGAGAGAGAGAGAGAGAGAAAGGGGAAACCCCGAACTTTCTTTATCGTTTCGGTATGAATAAAAAAGAGATCGCGATGCACTTTGTTTCGAAATGCCTACTTAGAATAGTTCCTGTTCGCCTTACAAAAAATTTATTGCTCACACGATTCGGGATGACAAGCTTCTCAAGCTGAAAACAAGTATCGTGAAAAGTTTAATGTAGCGGTTGAGTTTCACAGACTTCGTCACGTGTCAGGAAGTTTGCGAGCAATCGACATCCTTTCGCGTGACTCGGAGAGAGAGAAAGGTCCTTTAAATATTTAATATAATCCGCGATCTAAGTCCATGTGTCTCGAACAAATCCGTTATTATCCGTTAATCTTTCCGCAAAGTTAACTGGAATAAATTGAAGCGATCACGCGATTCCGCTATCAATTTTTTCGGGAACAGCTGTCCGAGCTGCGATCGCAACGATTCGTCTTCATTAACATCGTTTCTTCATTCGATTCGAAGGCGTCCGTATCGTCGTCTTTATATCGTGCCGAACCGTAACAAAGGGAAATTAGAACGCTTAGTTTCGAGTCGCTCGCCAACTTCTTTCACGCTGGATCGTATACTCCGCGTAACAAGTGGTGTAGGCTTGAATAGCAATTAATTACGAGGGGACGTCGAGACATCAGCCGGAAGCACGATTCGCGATGCGCGACGGAATATGAAATTCAATTTGGCTTGGTACCCATTTAGCCACTTCCTGCCACTTCTCCATGCGGGAAAATTAGGGGGTTTTTTTATATTTTTTATTTTATTCGTGTCGTTGAAGTTAGGACTGTGCGTCGAGCAAAACAACAATTTTATATTTCGACGATGCTTTCGAGATTGCATTTCATCGCACTTTATTCCAAATTGTTCCTGGTTGTTTAACAGGATTGTTTTTTATCGTTTTCTTTTCTTTCAATTACGAAACTGTTGATTGGTAATTTCTTTGAAGAGAATTTCGAACACAAGGAACTGCGATCCTAAGGGAAACTGTGACGTTAAGTGCGCAACTGAAGCGTGGAATAATTTAAATTGCGGCGTTAAATATAGCAGCTCAGTTTAATGGAACAGCCATTGACTGAACCGAGTTCTTCCCAGAAATCAGGAGCGCAAGGTTTCCTTCAATATCGACATACGTTACGTCACGAAACACACGTATCATCGTTATCAATACGTACGTCTTTTTTCCCGAGGAAAAATAACGTCGTAAGATAAAATAAAATAACGATATGTAATTTACGACTCGCAGCTTATCAAGCGTAGACTTTTTTTCATCAAGGTTGATGGTATTGACAGGAGGCAAAGAAAAACGTATTCTGTTCTGCGACGGTTTTTTTTTTATGTAGATTTAATCGGATGTTGCGCAGATACTTTAATGTGAAACGACAAGGATGTGCGCAGCTTGTGTATGTGTGTGTGTTGTCTCGACGTATTATTTGTCATTTATCTCGTAACATTATCATCGCAATAGCGACGATGAAATTCGCCAACATTACAGCGCGACGCTACATTCGCATTTACATTTGCGTAGCTACGTGATAAGTATGCAAAATGAGGAATTTTGCGGCTGTCAACTTCTGTTTTTAATGAGCTCGCCGCGTTTAATAATAAGCACGCGCGCGCACGTGGTATGCAAAAAGACTAGACTTTGCATCGCGAAGAAGGTATTTAAAATCTCTCGAGCTTAAACGTTTAGCCACGAGTCAACAAAGCTACCGCTACTGTCGGCAAGAAACAGCTTCTTCTTCTTCTTCGTATTTTTTTTCTTTGTTTTTTTTTCTAGTCTGCATGACTAATCCTCTCTCGAATGCAAATGCATGTTGTAGAGCATGCAAGCACAGCTCGCTCTCTGCGAAAGATCGTCTCCCACGTTGCACCGCTAAGTTCCAAAAAGCTGGCCAAAAAATTTACGACAATAGAGAAATCACATTCCCAGCGTATTTTTATTTATTTGTTCACAAATGAGCGATTTGTTAATCGTGAAAATGTGTCTGCTATTAATTTGAACAGATTTTGCCTGTAATGATATATTCACGATTTTTATTATTTACAAACAAGTAAAAAAACAGTTTTGCTTTTACGTAGACAGCAAGAAAAATTGTTGAGTCACTGAACTTTTTGTTTAATCAACAAAACGTTTTGCTGGCAAAACAAAAATCTCAGTAGACTTAACAAATGTTTTTTTGCTGGCCAAACTAATTTCTTGCTATTCATCTTTTTTTTCCGTATCTGGTTTTTTGTTGTTATTCGCGAATCGATTAATTTTGGACAACGTCGCGCGTTTTATGCGGTAATAGAAAATGTTTTTGCGAAGCTCGCACGAGCGTGTAACACGATGAATTTGCGAATAATTTATATCCTTATAACTTGGCAACAAATCCGCGCGCGTACACCAAGTTTCCGTTATAATCCAGTTAAAGTGAGAGTCATGTAGTGAATAATAACGACTTATCCGCGCGTTCGCGAAGTTTAATTCGACGAGGATCCCGTAATCTTTCGCGTTGGGGGATAATTTCGTAATTGCGATTCGCCACGTCGTTCCGAAAAATTCATCAAGGAACACGCTCCTGAATGCGAATTTTCGATAGCGAGCTTTCGCGCGCACGACCGCGCTTTCTCTCTGTGATGTGAAGTTTGTGGTCAATTTTTGTTTTCTCTTTTTTTTGGAATCCAAACGCGCGCAATGTAGCCTTGCCGGAAGCATGAAACTCCCCGTAGCAAAGACAAAAGTTTTGCGTTAACTTTCTTTCTAATTTCCCGAACGCTCGGTTGTTTCAGGCACACACTCCTCTTCTCGCGGCCGACACGAGACACGTAAGTAGAAAGCTGATAGTAGCAAAAAAAAAAAAACAAAAAAAAATTGCAAGCTCCGGGGCGAGATCGAGTAATAATCTCGCAATAACCGAGAGAACAATTGCAATCGTCATTGTGTGTTTCTCGTCTTGCATTTACATAATGCGACATTCGATAATGCATGTCGGTTTGTTTCACGCGAGTGAAATCGGTGGGAACGTATCGCCGAGTCCAGATGTTGTCCAAGTATTTTTTGCGCAAGAAAATGCAATTTGCAATGAGATTTGGTTTTTGTTTTTGTTTTATCAGCGCGATAACGCAATTGAGTTCATTGCGAGGCTTCATCAATTACATCTCATGTAATAAGCTTGAAAAATTGTATCTCGATGCGAAATTGCGGGCGGATTTGCATGTAAAATCGCGTACGATAGTGCCTCATTGACGCATTTGCCTCATTAATTAACACAGATGACATAATTAACAATTCCCGCGGCGGCGCGGACACCGTTGCGCGATGCGTTACTACACCGCTTTCGCGATATAAACCAGTTTGCAATAAAATAAACACCGTGGCGCGGCGTGTGTGTTACGACGTCTGGCGTATTACGGCACGGGAGGTGTGTATCAGGAAATATTATCAAACGAGCATAAATAAAAATATGATAATGCGCCGTAATATAATGCGATCGTGTTGCAGATCTTCGGCCGCGCGAGGCGGAAGTTTCGGTCGAGAGAGAAAAAGAGAGAGAGAGAGAGAGAAAGTTCGGAAATTAAATCGCCGGCAGCTTGAGTGAATCAAATGCCGGGAGATCACCAGATGTTTTATAAGACAGAACGGCGCGACTATCGTTGCTTCCAAGTTTATCGTGACGTAATTGCAGTTTCATATCGCAACGGCGGTTTCCTCCGTAAATTATACGCGCAAGAAAACGCAACGGATAATTATTTGCTCCTGAGTCATTAGTGCTAACGATCTTCCTTTCCACGTAGTGCATCCCGATCCGAGCGATTTCATTCCCCGACGCGTTCCTACCTTAATCGCCGTTTGATCGGTTAACTTCGACGATCGTGTTCGCCTTTTAAACGGACGCGGGAATGCGAATTCCGGATTCTCCCTTATCGGGCGTGTAACGGATCCGGAAGCGTGTTCGACCCGTGCGAACTTCCTCGTACAACCGAGAATCGATTCGTAAATGTAGGAAATTGTGTCACATCCCGCGGTTTCCTTTCTACGCCCGCACGGCTCTCGCTTCGCTTCCGCTCCGCGTCGAAAGGTCCCTCGTCTAATTTGTCGCGAAACCGATCCGGGTTCTTTTCTCCCTTCGAGAAAGTTTGCCGGGACTTTAATGATTCATCTAATTCGACGTGATTAGTGATATCTCTCTCGGATTTCGCTTCCTTAAAGTGGACTTCGCGTTTCCGCGGTCTACGAATAAATAAAAGCACGCTTTTCTTATTGTGCAAGTTTCTTTTTCTCGTTATTATATTTTTCTTTCGCTTTCGTGGGGTGACGTTTTTTTACTCAACGTCAATTTATATGTTGGACTTCAAATCAGCAGTTGCCTCGACTTTCGAGTAACTATTGTGTTTTCTAACAAATAACTGGCGTCTTCTTTTTTGTGTTTAAAAGCATTATTTTTATTACGTAATTTTGTACATAACTGTGTGCGCAATGAAACATTATTATTATTTTAATACATTATATATGTTATATATAGTGTATTATATATTAGTATTATTATTATATCATTATTATATTATTATTATATATCGAGCGAAGAAATACGCACTACTACACGTGCAATGAGATCGGAAACAATTCCGTACAAATTACGGTGATAATTCGTGAAGTATATGAAAACATACATCGCTTTCGGCGCGCGATAGCTCGACAAGAGCTTAAAATAATTATCTCGTGGTGAAAGTTAAACTCCATCTCGCCGCCTGCGAGCGAAACACACCGCTGCTTCGCGCGCACAAATATTTCCCTTTGGAGCGCGCGCGCGCGTGCGCAAACAGCAATGTATTCGTTAACTGTCGCATAAATCCGGACACCGCGCTAATTAACTATCGCGTTACGTTATTTAATTGCGATTGTGTTAATCATCCCCATTAACTGGACGAGGGAAATTTGCGCGTTCACGTACCGATTGGTTTACGCGCGACGCGAATTAAAGCGCTTCGCGCAACATCAAGAAAATCCACGCAGTGTTTTTACAATAACTCGAGCTAATCTCTCTCGAAAATATAATTTCGAATCCCCCCGAAGGGGAGGATTTTCGCGACACAACCCCTTCTACGAAGTTATCCCGGGATGTATCTTGCGTTTAAGCCGGGACATTATTCATTCAACGGAGGTTGATTAGTCTACGTTGACCGCCGACCTTTTAAATCACCCTTGTCTCTCGAATATGCAAACACACGCCCTCATCCTTTCCCTACCTCCGCTCCTATCGCCTCCTCCTTCAAAACTTCACCGTCGCCGCTTCAGCCGCGCGCTGGAAGATTCATAGCGGGCCTGATTCGATTTGCAGCGCCGTTTGAATTTCAGGCGAGGGCGTATTTCATTCGTCGACGATCGGCTAGATGGGAAAGGGAAGGTGGGAAAGGGGGGAAAGAGGAAAAGAGAAAGGAAGTCGGAGGTTGAAAAGGCAGCCGGTGAATATCGGAGTCTGCCAAATGGAGTAAACTGCAGCCTCCCGGCTCGCTCGTGTAATCTTCCGGAAGTCGCCGTCTACCAACGATTACCTTCCTCTTCTCTTTTGCTTCGCCGCCTCGTTTCCAACTTCTTGTCTCATCACCGCTGCGTCTACGTCTCCCATTCCCCGTGTCTTCGTTCGGCGATAAATCAGGCGGAAAAGGGTGATCCCGATGAAATGAAACCAAGCGGTTTTTACTTTAGAGACGCGTCGCGTCGGAATCATATTTTCGCGATCGCGCGGAGAAACTGTTTGCCTTCTCCTCGCCGCGGCGAAAAAAATCCCGCGTCAAACGCGGGAAAATGACTGCCCTCCTTTCTAGGGGTGAATAGCGAGATTCGAATTCGTGGATCGCGCGAGTGAAGGGGAGGGCGAATTCCGCGAGCATTCATCGGCACGCGGTGAATATCGATCTCGGGTGTTCATTTCTTTTGGATTAGCACGCGCGCTGCACGGTGAGCGTATACACAACGCGTATCCGAGAGAAAATCCGCTTTTTGTGTGTGTGACCGCTGTGAAAAGCGATACACGGACGCCAGTTAGGTCGGACGACGAATGACGGTATTATTTAGGATATTTCTGAAACGCGCAAAACCTGGATTTCCCTAGGTATTTTTTTTTTTTTTTTTTTTTTTAACGTCGAGAATCGGACTGGCGAGGAACACGAGTCTGCGAATAAATGTTTCAATACGTTCTCTTATTCGAACAATTTATTCGCTATCAAATTAGATTGCAATATTTAGAGCGTTTTCAACGAGTTTCGTGGGACCGGGGCACACAAAACGACGTCCAACATAAAGTATTTAAAAAAAATCTACACAATATTATGAATCATATAAAAACATAAATTTATTACATAATTCTCTGTATACGATACATGTGACAACTTATTCAAGGTTAGTGTATCTTGTGCAGAGGATTATAAAATAAATGATAATAAGAATTCTAATCAAGCTGTCGTATCAAATTTAAACTAGCATATTCTTTATACGAGATAAAATTGCAATCAGGAATTTTAAAGCCAATAAAATAAAAGTAAGAAAAACTTATTCATCATGTTCAAGTTTGTTTTTATAAAAGTGCTTGTAATTATCATATGCCGTGTTTTATAAATAAAAGCTGTTTCGTACACGTGGCATGACATAGTAGCAACTTACATTTTTATAAAAAAGAATATTTTTCTGTACTTAGTAAGCTATTAACTGTGTGACAACTACTCCAGGGTGACAACCTACTTTCGTTTTTTTTTTTTTTTTTTTTTTTTTTTTTTTTTTTTTTCTTTATTTCTTTTTTCTTCCTTTCTATTGTTTTTTTTTTTTTTTTTTTTCTTTTTTTTTTTTTTTTTTTTTTTTTTTTCTATTTTTTAATTTCTGCCTTTTTCTCGGCAGAAATTTCACGGGATAAGAGGAAATCCCATGTAGAAGAGGATACTTATTATTCGCGAGCGGTAACATAATTTCGTTCCTGATAATGAGAATTATAACATCCCCGAGTGCTTATCCGCGCGAGTCATTCCGGAGGGGGATCTATTTTCCGCGAGGCGAATCAGAACTTCGATCGCCCGGTTTGAGATTCGGCTGCTGCAGGCGCGTTTTCCCGCGGGAAAACATCCTATTTCGCATTATCCCGAGCCGAGTCGAAATCCCTATTCCATCAAAATCTTCATTCCGCCTCCTTTCAACACGCCGTACGTTCCTCGCGTCAATATCGCGTCTTTTTCGACATTTATGTTGATGAGTGTGCTACATAACGCAATTAAATCTTCGTTTATGTTGCATCTGAAAGGTGATCTACCTTTTTATTTTATGTTAATTAATGTTAATTTATATCCAAAGTTTGATATTTTTATGTTGGTCTTACATATAAATTTTTTTATATTCACAAAAAAAATTGGAGTTATAAAGGGTTAAATATATCACAGACAATTTAACGAACTTTTTTTTTTATAATCGACCTGGATAATAAAGTTACAGCCGTTCTCTTTGTTCCGCGTAATCTGATTGGATATTAAATGATAGATTTTAATTGCGCGAGTTTGGCAACACGATCAATTTCCGTTATACAATAGCGAGCGAAATCGTGTGTTCCGTGTGTTATATTATCGGGTGTGTTCATCGGAATAATCGATATCGCATCTCCTCACCGACACGATCCATTAGTGGTTAGGGATCATCGGGCCAGTAGCTCATGTTGATTACCACGTGGTGGTGGTGCGCGCCTCATGCGCCCTGGCACTTCCCGCGCGCTTCCGGCCCTCCGGTATCGCATTATAGGCAATGCCGGGCATTATAACAGGACACGTCGTATAAATCACGCCGAATG